CCATGTTTTTGGTCCAAAAATGATCATTTACTTGATATTTCACCTAGTGTAATATAAATTTTTATCAAATTTTGATAAATAAAGTATCCTTGTCTATTGAAAATGCCACAAATAACTTATTTTAGTCATTTTCTTTCATGTATTCCCCAAATTTGGAAAATTATTTTGAAATTTTTATATTCACCATGACATTTTCACCCAATTTCCCATTAAAACTCCCGTTCTTCCCATCCAAGTTCGCAGCTTTTCCAGACCAATTCATCGCGAATTTCGGAGTGATTTTTTGCGGAAGGCCGAAGAAATTAGGGGAAAACAAAACCCAAAAAAACCGAGACGCCGCCAAAAAACGGGTGTCTGCCGAGAAAATTGCCCCCGAAAACGTCCGAAATCGCCATAAAACGGGGCCAAATTACAAAGACGAATGGCCGTCTGTGTAGATACTCGTATTTTACGCTGATTTTTTTATTGCCCGACCTTTTTCGGGGGGAAATTTTGGCCAAAAAATTTCGAAATCCCAATTTTTTTTGGTTTTTTTTTGACCAAATCCCCTTTGATTTTGCCCTAAATTAGCATATTCTGTCGCCTAATTCTGGCGATTTTTTTATTAACCCGTATTTTTTGTTTCTTTTTTCTATTGTTACGGCGAAATTTACGAGTCAACACCTCATTTTACCTGCCCGAATAACCCCCAAAAAAGCCCGTATTACATTGTTTCGAGTGTCTGCGGAAATTTACGATTAATCATTATGCAAATGCGGGCCAAAGAACAACATTAAAAAAGTTTTTTTCGCACTGTGCAGTCGGAGTTGGGTTTGGGTTTGCACGGTGCGGTGAGAAATGAGGTGGGGGTTTGCACAGTGCGAAAAAAAGTAGTGGATTTATTGCACGGTGCAGTTGGAAATTTTTGGTTGTCGCACAGTGCAAAAGGTGTCGCGACGGACGCACAGTGCAAGCAAAGTTTCGCGATGGACGCACAGTGCAAGTAAAGTTTCGCGATGGACGCACAGTGCAATTGGGATTTTGGTGCGAGTTCATTTTTACAGCACTGTGCAATCGGAATTGGGAATTGGGTTTGCACGGTGCGAAAAAAAGATTCGGATTTTATGCACGGTGCAGTTGGAAATTATTGTGGTTTGCACAGTGCAAGCAAAATTTCGTGATGGACCGCACAGTGCAAAAGGTGTCGCGATGGACGCACAGTGCAAAAGGTATGACTGCACAGTGCATTCTAAAGTTTCGCGATGGACTGCACAGTGCATTTGAGTTGTTTTTTTGACTGCACAGTGCAGTTGGAAGTTTTTGGTGGTTCGCACGGTGCAACCAAAATTTCGCGATGGACTGCACAGTGCATCGGAATTTCGATGCGAGCTGTTTTTTTTTGACTGCACTGTGCAAAGAATTGCACAGTGCGATGAAAATCGCATTGCACAGTGCAAAGAATTTTTTTTGAGTTTGATCGCACTGTGCAATCGGGATTTTAGGAAATAAAAAAATACACACTGTGCACTCGAAAAATGAACGGTTGCACAGTGCAAAAAAATTGCAAAAATATCTGCACTGTGCAGTCAAAAAAAATTTTTTTGATGCACTGTGCGATCAATTTGGAATGCCAAAACTGTAAAAAAACTAAAATAGGAGTACTGTAACTACCAGTAATTTCATTACAATCATAATGGCCATTATAAAAGGCGCAAAAAAGCTCGAAAAATCAAAAAAGGTAGTTCTTTGAAGTCGCAGCGGCATAATTCGGCTAATTTTGCGGCTATTATGGGAGAAGGTGGCTGAGAAAAAGTTTTTGAATACTTATGGGAACGTTGTAATAAGTAATGGGAAGGTGATTTTATGTGATTTTGGAGGGAAATAATGGGAATAAAAGCTAATTTAAAAGTATTTTTGGGCTGAAAAAAATTAGTTTTGGGTTACTGTAGGTTCAAAAAGCATTTTTGAAAAATTTCAAAAAAATTTTTTTGATTTTTGGGGGAAAAATAATCAAAAAATTTCATTTTGGATGTGTTATTCATATTTTCTATATATCATGACCATATACGAGGGCGTATTTTACAAAATTTTCCCAAAAATTTTCGAGATTTTTTCATTTTTTCTCAAATTTTTTGCCAAAATTTTTTTTTTTTCATTTTTATTTTCCTCTAATATCCATGCGATGCGAGCCTGCCCAGACCAAAAGAAGACTGTCAGCCGATAAAAACAAGCTCATTAATCATGCCGTTTCCCTTTTTTGGCGACACTTTTTTCGAATGAGGTTAGGCGCGCAACAATTCGCATTTACAATTCCTTTCCGCAAACCCCCATGGGTATTTAGGAGGGGCTATAAAAGGGTCAGCATTCCGTTGAGTCATTCAAATTATTTTAGGGTGCGGAAATTTTTGAAAATTTTCCGACTGCACTGTGCGGAATTTTTTTGTTTGTGAAAATGAGTAATTGCACGGTGCAATTTCAAACAAAAAATGTTCAGTGTATAATCTAGCGCTGACAACGCTGTGCTGGACGTATTTTACAATACTATCTGCTTTTTCACGCACTGTGCGAGAAAAAATTTTGAACGCACAGTGCAGTTTTTTCCTCATCTGAGAAAATGGATTTGCAGTGCACAGTAGGGAAGTAAATGCGATATCTAGAGAGCATTATTCTTTCAGAAGATATAAAATCGTATTTTACATTACCACTCACTTTTTAACGCACTGTGCGGGACACAAATTCCGACTGCACAGTGCAGTTTTTTCCTCATCTGAGAAAATGGATTTGCAGTGCGCAGTAGAGAAGTAAATGCGATATCTAGAGAGCATTATCCTTTCAGAAGATATACAATCGTATTTTACAATACCACTCACCTTTTAACGCACTGTGCGAGACAAAAATTCCGACTGCACAGTGCGACTTTTTTCTCAGTCTAAAAAACGTAAATTGCACTGTGCAATGCAAACTTAATAGTGTTTTTCAGACAGGTTAGGATGTCAACTAACATGTTCAACGTATTTTACAAACCCTTCTAGCTTCTATCGCACTGCGCAGACCAAAAATTTTGATCGCACAGTGCAGTCGAAATTTTAGTGTTTTTTCGCACTGTGCAATGCAAAACCAAAAATTTTTTTGCTCAGAATGCTACAGTAAACCCGTAGCAAGTCTGAAAAAATAAATTTCAGCCAAATCCAAAACAAAATCCGGCTAAAAATTCGCATTTTTTCACCTACCGTAACCCAACCCCAAAATTTTGTTTTGATTTTTTTCGCCTCATCGCTGTTGCTTATTCCGTTTTTTTTTTTCAAAATTTCGCAGCCTCCAGCGGCGAAGTCATCCATTCTTCACTTCATCAATTTCTGCAGGGGCCGTCACATGAGCGAGCAGGTATCAAAATTTGAGGGAAAAATGGTGGAAAAAATAATGAAGGAGTTCGAAAAATGCCTTCTGCTGCTGCCAATTTTTGAACAGAGGCGTTTACAGTAGGATTAAATAGTAATTAGGCGAATTAAGAGGCATTTTTGGGGTTTTGGACCTTATTTTAGATGATTTTGGGGTTAAAAGAGTGGTTTTTGGAGGGTTTTCGAGGAAATTTGAAAATTTTAATAGATTTTCCTTGATTTCTGAGATATATTTTAGTTTTTTTTAACACTTTTGCAGTCTATTTCCTACTGTAATTTTATTTTTTTTTCAATTTTTCGAAATTTTCCCCAACAAATCAATTTTTTCCTACTGTAACAATAACTTGGCCCCTCAAAATTTCTCGTTGCATCACACAGGGTCTCCACGAGATTTCAGACCATATACAGCCCAATCTCGGGCCTATTCTCGACCGTAAACTCTCGAATTTTATGCATTTATGAACCAACATGCCGTGTTTGATGGCGCCGAAATTTCCGGGCCCAAATCAACCCGCCCCAACACTTTTTATGCCTTTACCACCCCATCAAGTGGTTGCAGAGCATAGCGAAAAGTGGGCGGGTAGCCCCACTCGAAGACTTTCGCGAGCCTCCAAGCCGAGGGGACGGGGAAGGCGAAAACAGGTGCGCAGCGTCGCCGCACTCTCCTCGTTTTTGTCCCTTTGCCCCCATGCCGCTCCGAACATATCAACAACAACGATTGCCCAACGATCGGACCGGGATTTCCGCGATTTTTGGGATTAAACAAGTTTTGAGGTGATCCTCTAGTATAAGGTCGAATTTCGACAAATTTTTGATGCAAATCTTCAGCGATTTTGCTAATTATAGATGGCCCATGCCATTAGCTTTAATTTGAGACCCGGATTTCCCATATTCAAGCGCTTCTTCCCGTTGAAAATATGGTTTTAGGTATAAAACATCTGATTTTTGATATTATTTTAGATTTTTCTCCCGAAAATCGAAGAAAACGGGTAAAGCGCGGGTTGCAAATTGATTGTAAATATAGTAAGTAACCTAATCGATCCAATATTACCCGGATTAATATCTAATTTCATTCGTAAAACACGACATTTCTGAAAATTTTGCTCAAAAATTTTCCGGGAAAAGAAATTGTTGGCCGAGAAATTGAAAAGTCGCGTAAGTGGCCTCGGAAATTGCCTTCCGTTTGATGGATTTGCTGCGAAGCTAACAGCGAAATAAATTTCAGCCGGCAATTTTTTCGTTCAAAAGCTTTTCGAGCATTTTCGGCGGAAATTGCCTCGAATTTCGGTAAAACAAACGAAATTTTGTAGCGATTTTTTGTGGTTTGTGTAGTATAAACAATTTAGTGTGGATACGTAGTACTTTCTCCTTGATTTATTACCAATTTGACCGAGATTTCTGCGATTTTTTCAACTTCACGTATCAAGTATAATATCGACGCTGATTCGATGCTTGAATGACCGTTTTCCTGCGGCATTCTGGTCTCAATTTACTCGTTATTAGGTCTGCGATTTTTGTATTTCTATTTGCCACCAAATTTCGACGATTTTTCGCGATTTTCTTCGTGTTTCATCTGATGTCAAGGATAATATAAATTTCCTCAAATTTCAGTGTGATTTGGCAATGGGTTCCATCCCCGACTATGCCCGATCCTTTCGGGATGCCATTCATCGAGCGAAACGAGCAATTACTGTGGACATTCAGCAACATAAAAAGGTGTCTTACCATTCGGAGCTGGCTGAATGTCTGGAATTCCTTAGATACTTCTTTGAATCTTCGAAAAACGAGCAACAAAGACAGATTCAAAGGCAATGTGGTGAGTATTAACTTCCTGACTTGTTTTTCTTCATGGTTTAGATGAACCTTTGAAAAAGTTGATGTCTAGTCTAATATAAATTTTGGATGAAAATGAAAAATTTTTGGCTTTAGGAGGACCGTTACGATCTGTAAATGCTATGTATTCTAAATTTTCAGCGATTCTTCACCTCTGCGCGGAGCTGGCAGTAATTTCTTATCCAGTGCAAGACGAATCCGCGATGCTTCCGATTCGAAAATACATAGCTTATATCGTCCGAAACTTGACTTGTGCCCAATTTGATGCCAAAATGCAGCTAGTTCACAACTCTCCGTTTATGGAATGCATCGATGGGTTCATCAAACGATCAATCTCGTTGATCAAGGTATGTGTCTTCCAATTTTGCTTGATTTTTAGGTTGATTTCGTCTGAACTTATCTGAATTTGATATTTACAGCCGTGGTGTGATGTCCTGATCAACATGACATACTATCCGCCCACGCAGCAACGTCCCGGCGCGGCGAGTATTCGAATTCTCTCGGACCGGATGAATAACATAATCGAAGCCATAATTCGGATAAACAGAGAGCGCCAACACCCTCTGACCAGGCCCTCGTCGCTCGGGTCGGTGTCCTCCAATGGATCTTCGATGAGTTCGGAAGAGTATGAGAGAGCGTTTACCGCTGCATTCGCTGTTTTATGGAACATTTTACTGTTGGCGCCGGTAAATCGGCGAAGAATTTGTTTGGATGAAACTTTGGTGAAGATTATCTTGGAAACTTCGACTCCAGAGAAGTGTAGAACAGCGTTGGGGCCTCCGATTACTTCAGTCTTGTCGTTGATAACAGGTAGGAAATTGAATTCTGCACTGTGCAGTGGGGTTCACATAAAGTTCCAATTTTTGATGGAGGCATTGTAAAATACGGATGGAATACTGATCATATATGTGTGAAATGGGTTCTAGAAGAGGCTAGAAATAATTTTACGGCTTTGGCGATAGCAATTTTTTAAGAAATTTTAACTTTTTTGAGGATCCGATTGCACTGTGCAATCAATAATTTTAAAAATGGTTTTTATGGGCTCGGTTGAAGACAGTAAATTAAAAAAAATATTACAGGAGTTTTTGAGCTCATAGCCATTGATTTTTGATGTTGTACATGAAAAATTTTTATAAAGATTTTTTTGAAATTTTTGAAAAATAAAAATTTTTGTTTAAAAAGTGATGATAGTGTCTTGAGAGCATAGTAAATTCAAAGCCGATTGTATTTACGTATTTCAGAGCCCCCATACGTCCACAATTTCTCGCCGCGCGCCCTCCGCCGCATCAATGAAGTCCTCGCGCCGCTGATCCAAGTAAACCAACCCAAAGAGATCCTAACCAACGTTCTCAAGTCCATGTACTTTTGCGTTCAGTACTCCACGGAACACCAAGTTACAGTATCGATTTATCGCCGTTATATGGAACAAATGGAAAGGGATTTGGTTTTGATCGGAAGGAATATGGAAATGACTCGGGAAACTCGAGGCCATTGGATTTATGCCTGCGAATTTGTCCAGAAACTCAGGTTGTACAGTGTGGAGTACTGCGGAGGTAAGGGAATTGGATTTGATTTTTTTTTGAATTTTTAGTCATGGATAATATCAGAGAAAAATTTTTTAAATTTTTGATGGAAAAAGTGAAATTGTTGGTAAAATACGGCTAGAAGGATTGGCAGGCTATATTTTGCAATTTTAAATGGTATTTGATCGGAGTTGGACGATTGGGGAAACCGAAAAGTATTATTTTTCTTCGATGAAAGTGTCGAAATTAGGATAATCGAGGGTGCTGATTTCGAAAATGACATTCATTTTTTTGATATTTACTTTTTCCTTAAGTAGTACTGTAAAGTAGTAATTTTTTGAATTTTTTTCATAAATACTCGATTTAGGGGTTTTCGATGGTGCTGATTTCAAATGAGAAAAAATAAATAAGATTTTTTCGAAATCAGCACCATCGTAAACCCCCAAATCGAATATTTATGAAAAAAATTCAAAAAATTATCACTTTACAGTACTACTTAAGGAAAAATGTAAAGATCAGAAAAAAATTAATGCCATTTTCGAAATCAGCACCCTCGATTATCCTTATTTCGACACTTTGATCAAAGAAAAATAATACTTTTCGGTTTCCCCAATCGTCCAACTCCTCTCAAATATCATTCAAAATTGCAAAGTATCTATTGAGGGATCTTCCCGTCGTATTTTACCAACAATTTCACTTTTTCCACCATCATCCCAGTTCCATATTTGACCGCCATTAATTTTTTGCATTTTCAGCCCTCTCCACCCCATCCTCATCGATAAATTCGACCCTTTTCGACTCCCCATCCCCGTCGTCCAGCGAAGAAAACGTCGATTTCACTCCCCCATCGCCCTCCAGCCATCCCCATCAAAGCCCCAGCTGCTCGCGACGATACGACGAAAGATATACGGAATCGACCCCAAAGTCCGCCAAAGCTCGAAGTGCCCTCAGAAAAAGAGAGTCCCCGTCGGCGCGGAAGGCCGTCCATTTCCAACGACAACCAATGGGAACTCGCGTACTGACGGATAAACCTATTTTCAATAGCCAGGAGGTCTATGCGCGACCCAATAAACACCTGATGAACATGTAAGTTGGAGGTGGAAAGTGTAATATAATGGGTAGAAGGTGGGGGAATTTTGGTGAAACTAGTATTTATAGGTAGCTAAGGACGTAATAAGGGATGGTAGAAAATTTGGAACCACGAAATTTGAAGATGGTTGAGATATTTGAGATTTTTTCACCTAGTACAATATAATTTAAAATTGATCAAAAAATGTGTTTGATCGCGGAATTTTGAGGTGAAATAGGATGGTAGAGGAAGAAAAAGACATGAGAAAGAAATTCAAACAAAAATTTTAAAAAAAATTTGCATAAAATACGACAAATTTCAGCCTGAATCGCCAACCCCCAACTGACTCGGAACCCTCCGATTTCTATTCGTCGGTGGAAACCACCTCAACCGGATTGAGCAACAACGAGATTGCCGCCAGAATGAGGCACGCACGAGTAATGCAGCTGTCGGATTCATCGAATATGACCACAACAACAGCATCTTCCCCATTTGATGATTCAAGTCTAAATGTCTATGAAAATCATCAATTCTTCATGAAAGGGTCCGGCTACAGCGATTATAACGATGGAGAGTAAGTTGCGAGGGAATTCGGAGTGATTTTTGGGGCAATTTGGGAGGTTTATTGACAATCAGGGTTTTCGTGGTGGGACCCAAAAATTTGAAAAATACTGGTAAAATTGAAAAGTTGGGGTGGTTATAGAACGAGTAGGATGCTGAGAGTGCTGAAGAAAAATATTTTTGAATTTGGAGCAGTTTGAAGCTAAAATTTATATTGTTTTAGGACCAGCGACTCAGCCATGGTTCACACCACGTCCAGCTCCTCCAATGGCTCCTCAACCAAGTCCAATTCCACCCTAGACCACTCTCACTTCAACTCAACCCTGAAAGCACCTGCTGACCCCACGCAGGACACGGTTGGATACTATGAAAATGAAGAAGTCATCCAAAGCGCCGCCGAAAACAAAGAAAACACTCCGGCCGAGGAGCTGGATGCAACGATTTTCATGAACTCCTCGGAACCGAGAACAGATGATCTGAACACTAGTATTTGTGTGGAAAGAGGGTCAATTTGCCCCCAAGTGACGTCGGTCAGCTCGTTTAGCGTGAAATCCGAGGATATCTCACCGAAAAGCGAGTGTAACTACAAGGTAAAGGAGTCGGATATCGAGGATTCGCCCTCACAATGCGCTCAGATGTTGATGGATCTGGATCTGTAAGTTTGGCAGCGATTTGAAGACTTTGAAGGTTTTCGTGGCGGGGCCCAAAAGTAGGAGTGGTGATTTTAAAAATGAGTGGTTTGGTGTAAAGTAAAGGTGGATTTGGATGAAATGTGACAGATTATAAACTTTAAGACCTATTTTTCGAAGCTATGGTCAAAATTCAGCCGGTTTGATATCAGTTTTGCCAAGTGTAATATAATTTTTTTTTGTATTTTAGAAGAGTGTAATGTAATATAAGTCAATGTTTGCGCTATTTTCAGGTCCTCAACACCAAAATCAATCCACACTGTGGCCACAATCCGCAGAACCGACCAGTTTTTGGACCCCTCAAGGCCAGATCCAACGCTTGAATCGAGCAGCTAAAACACCACCGAAATACCCAAGTAGAATGTGGCCAATACCTCAAGATTAGTCAATCTCAACTACCGGTTCCAAATCGCACTTAAACTTTTAATACCGCTCAGGATTATAGCTCTTTTTCGATATTGTACTAGACATCTGATTGAGAAGTTTCAAATTTTTGGTTGTAATGTCAATTTGAGGATTGTATATTCGTTTATTATTAACTTTATGGCATTAGAACAATCTTGAGCAAGATTTCATAGCATTCAGAACTTAATTAACGGACCGTTTTAATTGTTACAGTAATATTTTTACAGTAAATATTTGACTTCTTTTATGAATTTAAATTGTTTTACAAACTTGAGAAGTGTGGTGTATATGGCATTTGAAATATTTACAGACTTTTTTAGGGGGATTTGATAGGTTTAAATTTGATTTTTTTTATATTATACATGACCACCTGATGAAAAGAGGCGAATAATGTGGTTAAAACAATGTTTTCATAGGTGAATGGTGTTTAGAAGCGCAAAATAAGACCTTTAGATTCTATACTAGGTATATCTACCCGATATTCTACTTGGATTTAAGATTTCTGACCAAATTATATTATCCATGACCACTTGATATAAAACTTGATTTTTTGTGGGTAAATCGAAGTTAAATGGCGGTTAAATGGTAAAATACGGTCGAATTACAATTGAAATGTTTTTTTTGACAACAAACATGTTGGTTTCAGCCGAAAAATTATAACTTTTTGACCAATTACAGGGTGCGGCAAAAAAATGGAAACTTTTTTCATTGGGTACTGACGCAAAAATTTTTAAGAGCAGCAAAATTATTTTCATACCATTAAATTCTACGTAGCTTTCTCTCCTAGACCTTATAATTTCATGTCCATATCGGTTTATTAACATTCTTTTTTTGAATGACAAACAGAGGGACCTCGATTTCGGACCTGTTTTTTTACCTGTGCGAACTGTTAATTTGCCCGGCATAGAAAGCACGTTGTGTCCAAAGTAATAACACAATGCAGGGAGCTTTTTGAAAATTTTAAGCGTCCAGCAAGCGAAAGAAAACGCACCGCCAACACTTCTGCCAGCCGCGGAATCATCAATAGCGAAATCCGTCGATTTCGAGAAAAAATTGCCCGTGAGACCGGCATCAGCGACCGATTAGTCGGCCAAATTGCTAAGAATCAACTCAAAGTCTTCCCACGCAAGGTCTGAAATGCCCAATTCCTAATCGGCAAGATCAAGCCCGTACGCCTGAAAAAATGCCGAAAATTCCGACGTCGGGCCGCAGGTCCGCGATGGGAGCGCATTCCCTCCGCGGTGCAATCTTTGGCGGGTGCACAACCAACAGAACGTCATAGTCCAATCCGATGAGGCCCCTGCACGTCGGCTAACGACGAACACCGTCAAAATAAGGGCCGTCATCGCCTAAGGCGGAATTTGTGCCAGCGGCAAGAATTCCGAGATTTTCGTGGATCAAGCGGGCAAAACTCTAGCGCCGGATTAACTTCGATTTCCTCATGCTTCTGTTGGCTCAGTAGAACCTTGGCAGCGCAAATTTGACGTTCCAACTAGACTCAGCGCCGACTCACAGGGCAACAACGAGTCAAGACCGATTTTGAGACCGATTTTCCCGATTTCACCCCGTCTGCGAAAAGAGCGCCTGCTCGCCGGGTATATATATCCAATGGACTGTAATTTTTTTTTCAATTGGAGGCCAGCATCTATACTACACGCCACAAAAGTTTGGAGTCGCAAAGTAATCGCTGCGTCAAGAACGGGACCGATTTCCCCGAAAAAAGCTGCGGCCAAAAGGCCAAAATTTTAAGTCACGTTTGGAGCTCTATATCGCCTTCAAAAGCAGCCACGGTAAAACGGGTTGAATATGTTGTAAACAATGCTCTATGTTATTGAAGATAACCGTTACTTTTGCGGAATTTGGATTGCTAGGAAAAATATAGCTATAAAAATAAGTTTCCATTTTTTTGCCGCACCCTGTATATTATCCATGACTGTCTGAAGTGAAAACAAAATAAATCTAATTTAGCTAACGATTTATTCTTAAAATATGGTTGATCGTGGAGTAAATGGTACATACTCTTAACTCAATTTAAATTCAGAAAATCAAAATCCAAATTTTTTGACCGATTATATTATCCATGTTCATCTGATGCAAAGATCCTCAAAAATTCGCTGAAAAACCGCACGTTTTTGCGTGGAAAATAAAGGAAATAAAGCATCAAGGTTCAGGGTTGCTCGTAGATGGGACATTTTCATGTAATCCCTTTGAAACTCAGCGATATTTTCACAAATCCTTTAATTGGCACAAGCACAATGTAATCGATTTTAATCTTGAAAAAAGACCACCTATCCTACAGCCACATGTAAATGGTGTTTCGAAATCAATTTGAAACAAAAAATTCTGTTACGACATTATCGAAAAAAGCGTGGTATTTCCGCTGTAATTTGTCTGTAGGCTAACGTTCCGAAATAAAACGCCTCAGGCAAAACACGACTAAACTTTGAAAATTAATCCCATTTATAATGCGTGTTTATATTAGTGGTGGGTATTAAGACAAACGGAAATACACGATTTTATTAACAGGGGAAGTACTCCAAGTGCGACGCTCAGATTTTCTTTAAATTTTGCACACACGTCGGGTACGGATTAAATAACAATTCCTAAAATGTTCGTGCGGAAAGATATGATTTTTTGTAGAAACATTATCCTTTACGGTAGAAATAGGCCTGAAACTTTTCGTGCCAAAATTCGGCAAAAAGTCCTAAATCTTGGCCGACTTTTGATCTAAAAATCTCGGTTGTTTCTGCAAAGCGCGAGCTAGGATTCTCGCATATATCTTAGAAAAAATTATTCTAAATTTATGCCAAGTTTCATCAAAATCTGAGCGTCGCACTTGGAGTACTTCCCCTGTAAGCTGAATCGAAAAGAGGGTACCGGAATTTCAAGGATTTTTGGGACTGCACTGTGCAAAATGAAGTTTTTTTTTGGCCTGCACCGTGCGAAAATCAAAAATTGAACTATACGGATCTTTTTTTGAAAAATAATCTCTATCTTACCTTCAGGGCATTTTTTGATTTTTTTTTCGATTTGCACTGTGCAAAATAAAGTTTTTTTGGACTGCACCGTGCGGAAGTTAAAAATTTGATTGCGCAGAGCGAGAGATGAAGGTATACGGAACATTTTTTGAGAAAAAGTAAAAATAGTCTCTACCTTACACACAGGGCATTTTTTGAATTTTTGTTTCAATTTGCACTGTGCAAAATGAAGTTTTTTGGACTGCACAGTGCGGAAATCAAAAATTTGATTGCACAGTGCGGAAGATGAAGGTATATGGATTTTTTGAGAAAATAATAAAAATAGTCTCTACCTTACAGTCAAGGCATTTTTTGATTTTTTTTTTTTTTTTTGAAGTTGCACTGTGCAAAAATTAAAAATTTGATTGCACAGTAAGGGAGATGATGGTATATGGATTTTTTGAGAAAATAATAAAAATAGTCTCTATCTTACAGTCAGGGCATTTTTTGTTTTTGTTTTTTTTTTTTTTTTGAAGTTGCACTGTGCAAAATGAAGTTTTTTGGACTGCACTGTGCGAAAATTAAAAATTTGATTGCGCAGTGTGAAAGATAGTATATACGGAATCTTTTTTTTAACAATAGTCTTTTTTCATCACTCTCACGTCATTTTCAAATTTTTTTTATCAGATTGCACCGTGCATTTGCCAAACCTCACAGCACAGTGCGAAAATTAAAAAATTGATTGCGCAGTGAAGGAGATGAACATATATGGATTTTTCTTTGAAAAATAGTCTCTACCTTACTCCCACGTCATTTTTTAATTTTTTTTTCAAATTGCACCGTGCATTTGCAAAAAACGTCTGCACTGTGCGAAAATTTTATAATTGTCTGCACTGTGCGGAATGCAGATTAATTGGGTCCGGCTTTTTTTTTAATTGTTTATTATGACCTCTAAGAGCGTGAGGAACATTTTGATGCTTGCACTTTTAATTTCATTACTTGTTTTTCACTTTTAATTTTCGCCGCACTGTGCAGCCCAAAAAACTTTTTGCACTGTGCCAAACATCGATAATTTTTGGACTTGGAGGACAAAAATTTAATTGTAACTTCCTCGACATTTAGCGCTGCCCTGAGGCTATTTTTATTCCGCTTTTTAATTGCACGGTGCGTAAAACGTCTCCTTTTCCTTCCGAAATTCCATTGCACTGTGCGCGTGAAAGGCATGCTGCGTTCACGCGTTGGGACAAGATTTAAATGTGAAATTGTTGAGTATAGTGAAGTGGCTATTAATTTTTTGAATTTTTCTTGCTCATTTCCCTCATTAGACTCATTTCTCGAGAAATTAATATAATCCGTTTGTCGTGCAATTATGCACATATTGTGCACGTGATGATTGTATTATAATATTTATATGTCTGGAGTTCGAAAAATATGGCTTCAGGGTGTTCACAGTGCAAAATTTATTGAATTCCCCTTGCACTGTGCAAAAATTTTTATTTAATTTTTTTGCACAGTGCTGCTGGAAAAGTTTTCCACTGCACTGTGCGATAAAAAATAAAAATGATTTGTTTTCAATTTGCACGGTGCAGAGGCGAGAAAAATAAATCGCACAGTGCGAGAGTCGGTTATTTTGCTCTCCGCACAGTGCAATTGTCAAAATTGTTTACTGCACCGTGCGGGCGGACCAAAACCAATTTTTGCACCGTGCAATTGCTAAAAGTTTTGACTGCAAGTTGTGCAGTGCAGTAGCGACAGAAATGAAACGCACTGTGCGAAAATATCGAAAAATTAGTTTTTGCACAGTGCAATTGCTAAAACTTTTTACTGCACTGTGCGGGCTGACCAAAAGAAATGCTTTTGCGGTTTGCACAGTGCGTTTCCGAAAAAACTTGTATGCACTGTGCAAAAATATCAAAAACTTAATTTTTACACAGTGCAATATTCAAAAGTTTTGAATGCACCGTGCAGACAGGC